TTTGGACTTTGGGTGCATGTTAAAGTTTGGACTTTGGGTGTGTGTTAAAGTTTGGACTTTGGGTGCATGTTAAAGTTTGGACTTTGGGTGCATGTTGAAGTTTGGATTTTGGGTGTGTGTTGAAGTTTGGACTTTGGGTGCCTGTTGAAGTTTGGATTTTGGGTGCCTGTTGAAGTTTGGACTTTGGGTGCACGTTGAAGTTTGTTTGGACTTTGGGTGCGTGTTAAAGTTTGGACTTTGGGTGCATGTTGAAGTTTGGACTTTGGGTGCATGTTGAAGTTTGGGACTTTGGTGCTTTTTGAGAAGTTTGGACTTTGGTGCATTTTTGGTTTTTGGACTTTGGTGCCGTTGAATTTGGTTTGGGTGCGTGTTAAAATGTTTGGACTTTGGGTGTTTTTGTTTTGGATTTTGGGGTGCGTGTTGAATTGTTTGGGTGTGTGTTGAAGTTTGGACTTTGGGTGTGTGTTTAAATTTTGGACTTTGGGTGCGTGTTGAAGTTTGGACTTTGGGTGTGTGTTGAAGTTTGGACTTTGGGTGGTGTTAAAGTTTGACTTTGGGTGCGTGTTAAGTTTGGACTTTGGGTGTGTTAAAGTTTGGACTTTGGGTGTGTTTAAAGTTTGGACTTTGGGTGCGTGTTAAATTTTGGATTTTGGGTGCATGTTAAAGTTTGGACTTTGGGTGCTTTTAAGTTGGACTTTGGGGTGCTGTAAGTTTGGACTTTGGGTCCCTTTAAGTTTGGACTTGGGTGAAATTTGAATTTTGGACTTTGGGTGTTTTTTGAAGTTTTTGGATTTTGGGGTGTTGAAGTTTGTTTTTGGACTTTGGGTGGGGTTGAATCTTTTTGGGGTTGGGTTGAAGTTTGGGACTTTGGGTGCGTGTTGAAATTGTTTGGGTGCTGTTGAAGTTTGGACTTTGGTGCGGTTGAAATTGTTTGGGTGCATGTTGAAGTTTGGACTTTGGGTGCGTGTTGAAGTTTGGACTTTGGGTGCGTGTTGAAGTTTGGACTTTGGGTGCGTGTTGAGGGGTTTGGACTTTGGGTGCGTGTTGAAATCTGTTTGGGTGCGTGTTGAAGTTGGACTTTGGGTGCATGTTTGAAGTTTGGACTTTGGGTGTGTGTTGAAGTTTGGATTTTGGGTGCATGTTAAAGTTTGGACTTTGGGTGCATGTTAAAGTTTTGGACTTTGGGTGCATGTTGAAGTTTGGACTTTGGGTGTGTGTTGAAGTTTGCACTTTGGGTGCATGTTAAAGTTTGGACTTTGGGTGCATGTTAAAGTTTGGGGACTTTGGGTGCATGTTAAAGTTTGGACTTTGGGTGTGTATTGAAGTTTGGACTTTGGGGTGTGTGTGAAGTTTGGACTTTGGGTGCACATTGAAGTTTTGGACTTTGGGGCATGTTGGGAAGTTTGTTTGGACTTTGGTGTGTGTTGAAGTCTGTTTGGACTTTGGGTGCATGTTTGTCTGTTTGGACTTTGGTGTGTTTGAAAAAATGTTTGGGTGCTGTTGAAGTTTGGACTTTGGGTGTGTGTTAAAGTTTGGACTTTGGGTGTGTGTTGAAGTTTGGACTGTGGGTGCATGTTGAAGTTTGGACTTGGGTGCTGTTGAGGTTTGGACTTTAGTTGCGTGTTAAAGTTTGGACTTTGGGTGGTGTTGAAGTTTGGACTTTGGGTGCATGTTGAGTTTGGACTTTGGGTGCGGGGTTGACGTTTGGAGGTGCTTGTTGAGGTTTGGTCTTTAGTTGCGTGTTAAATTTTGGGGATTTGGGTGTGTTTTTGAAGTTTGGATTTTGGGGTTTTGGGTTTGAAGTTTGGATTTTGGGGTGCATGTTAAAGGGTTTGGACTTTGGGTGCGTTTTTGAAGTTTGGACTTTGGGTGCAAGTTGAAGTTTGGACTTTGGGTGCGTGTTGAAGTTTGGACTTTGGGTGTGTGTTGAAGTTTGGACTTTGGGTGCGTGTTGAAGTTTGGACTTTGGGTGTGTGTTGAAGTTTGGATTTTGGGTGCTGTTGAAGTTTGGACTTTGGTTGCATTTTTAAAGTTTGGACTTTGGGTGTGTGTTGAAGCTTGGACTTTGGTTGCATGTTAAAGTTTGGATTTTGGGTGTGTGTTGAAGTTTGGACTTTGGGTGGTGTTGAAGTTTGGACTTTGGGTGTGTTGAAGTTTGGACTTTGGGTGCACATTGAAGTTTGGATTTTGGGGTGCACGTTGAAGTTTTGTTTGGACTTTGGGTGCGTGTTGAAGTCTGTTTGGACTTTGGGTGTGTATTGAAGTCTGTTTGGACTTTGGGTGCGTGTTGAAGTCTGTTTTTTACTTTGGGTGCGTGTTGAAGTCTGTTTGGACTTTGGGTGCGTGTTGGTGTTGGAGTTTTGTACTCGGTGCAATAATTTATGCATATTTTCAGTTCTCGAATGTCACTGCTTTTGGGTCAGTGGCAGAACGTCAGCTATCATAATGGGTAAGTTGTGGATATTTTTTAACAACTGAAGTTCATGGTAAAAATTAATTAAAGATTGTCATCTACTTTGCCATAAATTGTTATATGTAGGAGTCTCAATTTTGCAATGGCCTTGGTGTATACTAGTCACTCAGGGTTTATTAATCTATTAACTGTGTTTTATGTTTGGCCCGGTTCCTGCCTGCAGTTCTGTGTTGTAGGAAAGAAACAAAAACTTTAGGTAGTGGTTTTAATCATTATAAATACACATGATAACATGACCATCAAGTAGGTAACAAAGTATCTTAGCCGCCAACACTAGTGATAGTCACTATTAGCTCATGTATTCCGGATTGATTCATTTGTAATAATAATAAAAGTCTTTATTTCTAAAAGTCATAATATATGGGATGAACTGTGGACCTCAAAGTATAAACTGATTTTTGTTACTAATTGAGCATAGGACAATGTAGAAACTTTGATGAAAAAATATTTGTAATATGATCAGAATCTTCTCTGCAGTGTTCAAAAATTATTTTGGTAATTATCTGATAATGCACACGATTACACACACACACCAATCCAATTAGAGAACTAAACCCGTTCATTCAGCAAATAATATATATAAAATTATTTAATAACAAGTGCTTTATTGTACTGGCTTTATCTTCATATTTTTTTTAATATCAACAGTACCAAATTTTATCCATTTGACTATAACACCATTGGATCCCGACTTGGTGGGTCTCCTGGGAAAAATTTTTTACCCCTATCCTGACAATGGGCAAATAATCAAAGGGAGGTTTTTATTTTAATTATTATATTACCTGCTTAAAAATCTTCACTAAAGAGTAAAATAACTTTTTAAAGGGCTTTCAGTACAGGGTACCTCAATATTCAGTTAATCCTTTCCGGGGGTGTTCAAATAGTGAGTTGTATAAATTGAAAAAAATTTTTTCCCATAAGAAAAAATGTAATGGATTTAAACAGTCCCGACCCAAAAAAAATTACCAATTTTTGAAATGTTTTTTAAATTGAAAATAATGGCCCCCTTAACGATATAAATGCACCCAAAAATTATTTATGTATGGGTTTTTCGGATGTTTTGGGGGGTGTGGACTTTTTACCAACATTTCAGGGAAAAAAGGCTACTGGCCCCGAAAACTCTGGTGAAAAAAGTTTTGTTAAGGGGGGTTTTCCCGTTTTGCTTTTTAAACTGTATAATAATGTTTGCTGAAAAAATTTTTAAAAACTTTGGGTAACCTAGTGGTTTTGGGGGTAAAGTCCCCTGCGACCCGGGTGGGGGTCATGGGGGCGGGCTGTTTAAAAGGGTTTTTCTCAGATTTTCCTGGTTGAAAAGCCCGTGTTTAGGGTTCCCGGGGCTTCAAGCCCATGGGTTTTTAAACCCCCTTTGTTGCGAAGGGTTTAAATCTTGGCACCCTAACACCCTTTTGGGTTCTTATGTGCAATTCCCCTGTTTTTCATTTAAAGTTCATCCCTGGTGGCTTTTTTTTGGGGGGGTTTTTCCCTCTGGATTTTCCAAAAGGATTAAAGATTTTGTTGTTTAGGGGGGGGAAAAAAATTAAGGCCCATAAATTTAGGGTTTTATTTAGTTAGTTGCGTGAAGGTTTCATTTTTCTTAGGTAGGCAATTTTCCCGCCTTTTAAAGGTGTGTTGTGTGAACTTTAAGTAGGTGGTGAAAGGTTATCAGGTTGGAACCTGTTTTGGGTTTCATAATCCTTGCATTTTTCTAAAATTTTATTGTTACATGGTGGCTTTAAGGTGAGATTTAAAAACCTGGTCTTTTGACATTGTTTTTTCATGGGTTTGGTTGGAAGATTTGTTTTTTTTGGGTGGGAATTTTTTTTCATTTGGGGCCCGGTTTTTTTTTTTCCCCGGTTTTTAAAAAATGGGGGTTTTGCACTTTTTTTCAAAATTTTTTTTTTTGGTTAAAACCTTCAGGGGAAAAGGAAAATTTTTAAAAAAATGGGGGGAAAAAAAAGGGAAGCTTTTTGGAAAGAGTTGTCAAACAGTAGGGCAGGGGGGGGAAAAAAAATTTAATTATCTACGAAATTTTTTACATATATTCCATTAGTGATGGCCCCTTACTTCAAAATAATTTTTAGTTATGCAAAGTTAAAAAATAATGTTGGGATATAATCATAACACTGGCCTAAAGGTAACAAAGAAAGAAAAAGGGGGAAGGGGGGGGGGGGGTTGGGAGGGAAAGGGTATAATTTGGGGGGGGAAAAAAGGTAAGGCATTTGGGAGAAAGAAAGATGTAGATGGGAGAATAGCAAGATAGAAGGGAGGCAAAGAATGGGAAGGGGGGAAAAAAAGGGAGACAAGTAATAATCTCACTTTTTGGAAGTTCTTTGTACTATATTTAAATTCATTTATGTGATGTCTCCTTTTCTACCATTAATCCATTTTTTGTGATTAGAATTTTACCATCAGTGCAGGTGGATGTTGTGTATGCAGAATCAACGTGTTGCATCTTGGTAATCATGATGACAGTACAGGCCCACTTTGTTTGCAGTATTATTTAGTATGCTTCTATAAAAAAATTGATTAATTTATAAATTGCAATTAAACTTTACAGGAATTGGTACAAAATGCTGAAGATGCTGGAGCCACAGTTGTTGAAGTTTTGCATGATACACGAAAAGTGCAGAGTTCCGAAGCTCATAATGATGTTCAAAAGTTTCTCAAGGTAAGCACATTTTTGTTGCTTAGTTACCATTATTTGTATCTGTATCTAATGGTTCTCCCTCTTCTGTTTGTAACTGTTAAATCCATTTGTTCCATAGGTTTCCTCAACTTGTTAATCTCCAAAATGAACACTTACTGTAAAATATGTGTTGTCCTAATGTAGGGTGAAAGGTGAGTATTTATTGTAGAAAGTCAGGCATGGTAGTTCCCATACCAGCTACCAGACCCACATGAAATATACGACAAATTTAAAGCACCCCAGAGCAATTATTATTATTATTACTATAGGTAGGTTGGTAAACAGCAACCGCCCAGGGAGGTACTACCGTCCTGCCAAGTGAGTGTAAAACGAAAGCCTGTAATTGTTTTACATGATGGTAGGATTGCTGGTGTCCTTTTTTCTGTCTCATAAACATCCAAGGTTTCAGGTATGTCTTGCTACTTCTACTTACACTTAGGTCACACTACATATGTACATGTACAAGCATATATATACACACCCCTCTGGGTTTTCTGCTATTTTCTTTTTAGTTCTTGTTCTTGTTTATTTCCTCTTATCTTCGTGGGGAAGTGGAACAGAATTTTTCCTCCGTAAGCCATGCGTGTTGTAAGAGGCGACTAAAATGGCAGGGGCATGGGGCTAGTAACCCCTTCTCTTGTATAAATTATTAAATTTAAAAAGATAAACTTTCGTTTTTCTTTTTTGGGCCACCCTGCCTTGGTGGGATATGGCCGGTTTGTTAAAAAAAAAATTATTATTATTATTATTTCAACAAACCGGCCATATCCCACCAAGGCAGGGTGGCCCAAAAAGAAAAACAAAAGTTTCTCTTTTTAAATTTAGTAATGTATACAGGAGAAGGGGTTACTAGCCCCTTGCTCCCGACATTTTAGTCGCCTTTTACAACACGCATGGCTTATGGAGGAAGGATTCTGTTCCACTTCCCCATAGAGATAAGAGGAAATAAACAAGAACAAGAACTAGAAAGAAAATAGCAGAAAACCCAGAGGGGTATGTATATATATGCTTGTACATGTATGTGTAGTGTGACCTAAGTGTAAGTAGAAGTAGCAAGATGTACCTGAAATCTTGCATGTTTATGAGACAGAAAGAGAGACACCAACAATCCTACCATCATGTAAAACAATTACAGGCTTTCGTTTTACACTCACTTGGCAGGACGGTAGTATCTCCCTGGGCGGCTGCTGTCTACCAACCTACTACCTAGGTATTATTATTTATTTTATTGTATTTTATTATCACACTGGCCGATTCCCACCAAGGCAGGGTGGCCCGAAAAAGAAAGACTTTCACCATCATTCACTCCATCACTGTCTTGCCAGAAGGGTGCTTTACACTACAGTTTTTAAACTGCAACATTAACACCCCTCCTTCAGAGTGCAGGCACTGTACTTCCCATCTCCAGGACTCAAGTCCGGCCTGCCGGTTTCCCTGAATCCCTTCATAAATGTTACTTTGCTCACACTCCAACAGCACGTCAAGTATTAAAAACCATTTGTCTCCATTCACTCCTATCAAACACGCTCATGCATGCCTGTTGGAAGTCCAAGCCCCTCGCACACAAAACCTCCTTTACCCCCTCCTCCAACCTTTCCTAGGCCGACCCCTACCCCGCCTTCCTTCCACTTCAGACTGATACACTCTTGAAGTCATTCTGTTTTGCTCCATTCTCTCTACATGTCCGAACCACCTCAACAACCCTTCCTCAGCCCTCTGGACAACAGTTTTGGTAATCCCGCACCTCCTCCTAACTTCCAAACTACGAATTCTCTGCATTATATTCACACCACACATTGCCCTCAAACATGACATCTCCACTGCCTCCAGCCTTCTCGCTGCAACATTCATCACCCACGCTTCACACCCATATAAGAGCGTTGGTAAAACTATACTCTCATACATTCCCCTCTTTGCCTCCAAGGACAAAGTTCTTTGTCTCCACAGACTCCCAAGTGCACCACTCACTCTTTTTCCCTCATCAATTCTATGATTCACCTCATCTTTCATAGACCCATCCGCTGACACGTCCACTCCCAAATATCTGAATACGTTCACCTCCTCCATACTCTCTCCCTCCAATCTGATATCCAATCTTTCATCACCTAATCTTTTTGTTATCCTCATAACCTTACTCTTTCCTGTATTCAAAAATTCACCTTTAATTTTCTTCTTTTGCACACCCTACCAAATTCATCCACCAATCTCCGCAACTTCTCTTCAGAATCTCCAAGAGCACAGTGTCATCAGCAAAGAGCAGCTTGTGACAACTCCCACTTTGTGTGTGATTCTTTATCTTTTAACTCCACGCCTCTTGCCAAGACCCTCGCATTTATTCTCTTACAACCCCATCTATAAATATATTAAACAACCACGGTGACATCACACATCCTTGTCTAAGGCCTACTTTTACTGGGAAAAAATTTCCCTCTTTCCTACATACTCTAACTTTAGCTTCACTATCCTCGTAAAAAACTCTTCACTGCTTTCAGTAACCTACCTCCTACACCATACACTTGCAACATCTGCCCCATTGCCCCCCTATCCACCCTGTCATACACCTTTTCCAAATCCATAAATGCCACAAAGACCTCTTTAGCCTTATCTAAATACTGTTCACTAATATGTTTCACTGTAAACACCTGGTCCACACACCCCTACCTTTCCTAAAGCCTCCTTGTTCATCTGCTATCCTATTCTACGTCTTGCTCTTAATTCTTTCAATTATAACTCTACCATACACTTTACCAGGTATACTCAACAGACTTATCCCCTATAATTTTTGCACTCTCTTTTATCCCCTTTGCCTTTATACAAAGGAACTATGCAAGCTCTCTGCCAATCCCTAGGTACCTTACCCTCTTCCATACATTTATTAATTTAATTGCACCAACCACTCCAAAACTATACCCCCACCTGCTTTTAACATTTCTATCTTTATCCCATCAATCCCGGCTGCCTTACCCCCTTTCATTTTCCCTACTGCCTCACGAACTTCCCCCACACTCACAACTGGCTCTTCCTCACTCCTACAAGATGTTATTCCTCCTTGCCCTATACACAAAATCACAGCTTCCCTATCTTCATCAACATTTAACAATTCCTCAAAATATTCCCTCCATCTTCCCAATACAGTGTACCTCTAACTCTCCATTTAATAACTCTCCTCTCCTATTATTATTATTATTATTAATTATTATTATTATTATTATTATTATTATTATTATTATTATTAATATTATTATTATTATTATTACTATTACCATCAACATACCTTGTTCACTGGGTCTAATCATTTCTAACAACTATACTTTGATGCCATTGTAAACGAGAGAGATGCAGAGAATGTAAACAAACACAAACCCATATTAATACCTGTCCGATTATGGTTCATTCACGTTTCTTTCCGCATACATTTGTGAAGCTTTTACCATAATACAAACGCCTTATATGGGACTTAATTACATACTTAACCCTTCATCGCGCAATTGGTCCGAAAATTTGAAATTCGAACTGAACTCCCTATGGTGGATAGAGTAACTCAATACAAGGTCACTGATCCCATATAAATTGATTTCTGATGGTTAGTTTTCGAGCAGTTGCCAATCTCCGAAGACCGAAAATATTAGGCCGCCCCCGACAAAGTGATTAAAAAATTCTATGTTGCAAACTTGCAATTGTTAATAAAACACACCAAAACAATTTTTTAAATTTAATATACAAACAGACAATATAAAAAACATAAATGGAACTTTTATCAAAAAACATTTTTTAATACTTACAAAAATATAAAAAGGAAGAAAATTTATCAACAATCCCAAATTGCAAAGTGATGCAAGTTTCAATCCCTATATTCCTGAGATTCATTTGGAAGACCAATGATTCTATATTGCTAATTGGCAAGATGGAAGTCTGTGAAACAATTTCTATCAGTCTTTATGCACAGATTTACTTTGCATACACTACAGACGAATGACGATGTTACCGTTTTTTCGAGGTGCTGCAATACTTGCAAGTAAACGGCCTTTGCCCTGCCATTGGGAAGTGCATTAGAGTCATGTCTTTCCTAACACTGTCATCAGGCATTTTCTGTACGTGTTTCCCCTCCCAGGTTTCACTATGCCAACACCATTGGAAGTACATGGTGAATTAGTTGGTGAAGGTCTTGGAGTTGTTCTTAGGCTGCTCCCTCTAAGGTTTTGTCCTTTAGACCTTGCAATTTCAGAGATAGAATTCCTGAAATACTTCAGTTGCATACACTTTTGCTTTATTGCTCGAGAATCACGGCAATAAAGCACCCATGCATTCACAACAGCAAGATCAATAATTAGGCAAATAGCCGCATGTACCAACGTTTGATTTCATTGGTGTTTTGTAGAGATGCACCAACATGTTGCTTTTGTCATACCTCCCATGTTTGCATTTATAGTTCTTGATGACTGCAGGGCACGATATTTTCTCTTTCCTCTTTGTACCCTTGTTATATCTCTCAACAAGACTATGGGCTCGACCCCAATATCAGTTGTCACTAAAGTCACAACTTTGGTGTCCTTCCATCGTACAACAAGGACACCATCATTGTTGTTGAAGCAAAAATTGCCCCTGGCACACTGTTTTTTTCCATTTGTTTGGGATAGGCACCAGATGTGGCTTACCACATCTATTGTCACGTACTGTTCCAGTGTATCTGCAGTTATACTTATCTCTTAGTAGCTTGACCAAAGGCATACTTGAAAAGAAATTGTCAGCATAGATTGCTGATGTGTTTGTCTTGTTCATAGTTTGTGCAAGTACCAGAACAATCTTTGTACTTATTGGAAGTTTACATTCTTCCTGTGGCAGCTGTATGGGATGTGTGTCAAAAGTTGTTGTGCCTTGATACATGAGTATATCATGTATGAGTCCTTCTTGACTTGCACGACAAAAAGTTTGAAACCCCACTTATCTGGTTTTGTTTTGATGTTACTGCCTTAGGTTTCCAGCAGTTTTACCCTTGAAACCAACCATGACTTCATCAATAGATTGCTTGGGTGTAGCTGGAATTTTCAAGCAAGCATTAGTTAGTTCAGTGTAAGAGGCCTTACTTTGTAGAATCTGTCATTATCCTTTTTTGTGTTGTCATTGAAATGAATATGACTTCTAAGGTACCTAAACCTCTTAGACGCCATGCTCTCTGCAACCTGTTGGCTCCTAAAACCAGCTTTCCAATAGTCTTCGAGGGATGGTAGTGAATTAATACCCATGAACAACAAAATACCTATGAACCTCATGATCTCTTCAGAATCTGTTGAAAAAGTACTATTTACGTCTTGTTGCCTTGTATACAAATTTGTTTGATATGCTATGTTATCTATCATGGCTGGAGTAACGAACATACGAAAATACTCATATGGAGACCTAATTGCAAGAGGCTTTTCATGTTCATATGCCGGCAAAGGATCATTTTCAATGTCATCTACGGTTCCACTCAGATGAAACTTGAAGAGCAATATTCTCATGGATCTCTTCCTCATCCGGGTTGCCTCAATCCTAAAAGTTTTCTTTTTCCTCATTACTTTCTGCTTTTTGGCTGGCCTTTCTTCCCTTTCTTCCTCATCATCAGTTGACATCTCTGCATCCTGTGCATCCGTTGGCAAGTATTCATCACCACTATCCAGCAATTCTGGTTCGTCTACCTCTGGTTCTGAGTCACTGTCTTCAGAAACGCAGATATACCTCGACCTGCTGGTCGACTGCTCCCCCTAAAACAGCCTCTCATGGAACTGGAAGGACAATAGAAACCTCCTGTATAAATCCAGACCACTACAGAGTTCATATATGCAATTGAAAATTTTTTTTTAAATATTTATTTGACTAAAATTGGACATTCCCAGAAACTCGCGCAATACCGAAATAATTCGGACTAAAATGCATGCACTTTTTTCAACTGCATGCTACACTCATATTATGCTTCACACGGACTTTAGGTATATATCAAAATATGCCTAAACTATTCATGTAAGCACTAAACACAACAATCAGTACTTACCGACATTGTAGAATATATAATCCAAGAGTAGATTAGCAAGGGTGGAGGGAAAAATGCGCGTGTGTTCGAAGCAAAGCCGCTAGTGTTTATATTTTGATCTCTCAACCAATGGGAAGGCGGCAGAAGCGAACTGTACTTAGCTGAAGAGACTCAGGGAAGGCTTGTGATTGGTTGGAACTAAAGAACGGGAAGCTGGCCGCGCGGGGCGCGAAGTATGACACGCGCCAAAAACACGTAATCAATACCGAATTATTTCGGCCCACCCCGATAAAGGGTTAAAAATGTAAGATTATATCATAAATTGTTCTACCTCATATTAACAATAGAGTGAATATTGGCTACATATTTGTATTCTGGCACTCTTCATCTGTCTAGACTTGAGTAGTCTGTAAGTATTAGGTTAAATCTGCCTGAAATGCCTCAGCATGATAGTGGCTTTCTTTGCTCCAATTATATTATCCTATGTAAACACACATGGTAACCTTAGCAAAGAAATAAGTATTTTATTTATTTGTTTATTTATGTTGTGTACAAGCTGTCTTCACATTGCAGTAGAATAAAAAACAGCAACACTCCCATTCTCATGCAATACACCATTTTTAAGGGAATGACACTCAAAGTGAAGGCATACGAAAGGAATAATTTTCTACAGTTACCCCCAGTAATACTATTGTGTACACATTTCCTCTGGTGTTGGACTAGAGAAAACATAATTCGTACCATTACTCCAAAAAGCTGCCCGGCCACAACATCTCATATTTTTGTGAATTTGTTCTACTGTGGGTGTATGTACTACGTTTATATGTCATGTAATGTATTTCTTACATAATTTTGAAAAAAATGTTATAGATGGAATAATGAAAATGGATATATTAACGTAATATACATTTAAAGCACCCCATAGTGATTATTATAATTATTATTATTATATTAACCCTTTGACTGTTTTGGTCGTATATACATGTATACGTCTTATGAGCCACTGTTTTTGACGTATATATACTCATAAATTCTAGCGGCTTCAAATCAATCAGGGGAAAGCTGGTAGGCCCACATGTGAGAGAATGGGTCTGTGTGGTCAGTGTGCATCATATAAAAAAAATCCTGGAGCACGTAGTGCATAATGAGAAAAAAAAACTGACCGTTTTTTTTTTTTTTTTTTTTTTTTAATTAAAATGCCGACTTTGTGGTCTATTTTTGTATAGTATTTAGGGTTTTATTCTCATTTTCTTGGTCTCATTTGATAGAATGGAAAACATATTATAGAAATAGAGGCAATTTTGATTGGTTTTACTATGAACAGAACCTTGAAATAGAGCTCAAAGTAGGGAAAATGTTTGATTTTTGCCAATGTTCAAAAGTATACAAATGATGTCATTTTCCAATAAATGTCCAAGTAGCCATTCTAATATGCAGTCATGAATGGGTTGACATTATTTATACAATTATTACAATATTGCAGTAGTTTGCATAACAGTAAATCTTCTATTTTTTGTTTGAATAAAAACTCAAAGTAGAAAGCAAGAGTAATATCAGAGGGGCCTGGAGACATGACTGATGAACAAAGAAAATGTTATTTTAGAGCCAAGAATGTCTGCATTGTTTATTCTGGACCCTATTTAGAAATTGTCATATTTTTTAATTTTCGTGAAATTGGCCAAATTGCAAATATCTGACCGCGTTATTAGGTAGTTGAAATCGGTAAATGGGCAGTTCCTTGTATTCAGTTGATAGAAAAAATGGAGTTCTAAAAGAAATAGTTTGGTCGACTGGAACACTGGAATTAGCCAAAAATAGGGCTTAAAGTGAGTGAAATCGCCAGTTCGTAAATATCGCCGAGGTCGCTAACTTCACGAGAGCATAATTCCATAAGTTTTCCATCAAATTTCGTTCTTTTAGTGTCATTGCAATCGGGAAAAGATTCTCTATCATTTCATGAGTTTTTTTTTTTTTTGGGTGGGGGGATTTTGCAACACCAGGAGACACCTCAGGATTTGGGGTTGCAACAGTCAAGGGGTTAATATGGTATTATTAATAATAATACAACACAATTTTATTTCTTTGCAAGTTTACATTGAGATCCTGTAGTTACAATAATGAGTTGTAGTGCAAAGAGCCACTATCATGCCACAGCATTATGGCAGACTAAATTAAAGGCTTACAAACTACTTAATACTAGAGAAATTGATCATAGTTTAAGTTGTACATCTGTTTTTATTTAAAGCAGACAGTAAGTTAACTCAAGTTACAATCTGGGGATATTACATTTTGACAATTTGAAGGTATTTTGTAGGTTGTGTATATCAATAGTAAATATTTAAGTTATATTATTAGAATATAATGTTTAGCATTGGTGAAAGTAGTTTACAGTATGAAAATGCCTCAATATGGTGTAAGGCAGTATAATTTTGTGCAGGTATTTATATTACAATGTAGTATTAAGTTATGTATGAACTTTGGGTATTTAAATTTTGAAGTATTAAGATTTAGGTAATTGGGATATCTTAATTTAAGTATTGAGTATTGAATATTTAGTGTAGGGTGACTAGATGGTTTTTAAGAAGTCTTAAATTGATGTTCTGACTAGGTTACTTCAGTATTTACTGGTAATGAGTTCCAAATTTTGGGGCCTTTATGTACAGAGAGTTCTTACATTGTGTGGTGTGGATACGGGGTACATCAAAAAGTGATCTGTGTCTTGTGTTGTGGTTGTGCGACCTATAATAATTTCATCTTGGCATGATGCATGTTTGTACAAGCGAGTGCAGGTCGGCCATCACTAATCCGGCATCGTTGAAACCTGTAGGGTGCTGGATTAGTGACTTTGCCAGATCACAGAGTGGCTAAATTAGAATACACTTAACCCAACAGTGATATTTATGCATCGGCAATTTCACCCAATTTATGCCCCATTTTTGGCCCATTCCATTATTCCAGTCTTACAAACTCGTAGCTATTTTACGTACTAGTATGTAGTGCTTTTTTGGGAGGCTATCATAGTAGTTTACACTATGTATGATAACTGTATTTATGTGTACCTATGCCTAAATAAACTTAGTCCTTGATTCTGGCTTATGAGCTGCTCTCTCTTGGGGCTAGTACCTGGACCCATTATGTACCTCTGATCAGGTGTAGATGTGTGAATGGTTCATTACCTTTGTAACTTGTTCAGGTATCAGAACTTTTGGGCCCAGTCCCTGGACCCATTATGCACCTCTAATCTTTTTTGACTACTGCTCACAGGGTGGGTATGGGGTGCATAATAAAGATGTTAACTAACTCTGAGACAAAGACAGGCAGACAGAGGTAGAGATAGAGAGGCCAGCCAGCCAGCTATCCACTTTCCTCTTAAAAGGGGAGTAGTAATACGACATGGCATTAGCAACTCCCTGGGGTTTGCTATATTTGCTCTAGTTGGCTCTCCATTGAACTGGTGATCCCACAAGGTACTAAGTGGTCCCAGATTATTTTTAATACTATGCACACTTGAGTGTTAAAACCCACTCTATACTGCCAAGGCCTATTGTGTCAAATTTGGAGGCAGGAAAAATAAAAATGTTGATCTATGTTTGTAGCGCTAGCAGTAAGAACATAGATCATTGTTTGCACAATTAATGGGTTAAATGTAATTTTGTCAATTTGTGAAATTAAAGTAACAACTTTTCATTATTTTCAGGGACCTGCTGTCTGTCTTTACAATAATGCAACTTTTACTGAAGACGACTGGCATGGCATACGCAAACTTAGTGACAGCATAAAAAAGGATGATCCTCTGAAAGTTGGGCAGTTTGGCTTAGGGTTTAAGTCAGTCTTTCACATTACTGGTAAGTTATATAAGGCAATTTGTAATCATTAATATAATGATTGGAAATTTGAAAGCACAGCATTTTAAGTAATTTAGGATCAATATTTTGGCATATGTGAAGATGCTTGTATCTGATAATGTCAGAATTAAGTTTCATTCGGTATAATTATCAAGATTAACAAATATACCTTCATCTAATTTTTTTATGCAGGCCTAGTGCTTATTGCATTGTGGTCAGTCAATTATATAGAGTGACTACATGACTAACAGTGTGGGAAAGGGCTGCCATACCTTTTTTGTAACTTTATTACACAATCTTCAGGGTGGAATAAACTGGGCAGGCACTTTCTGGACTTTCCTACATAGGGAGTTGAACATTTCACAGTTTCAGTTCTTTGGTATCTTTACAAGATGAGGTGTGTGGGTGGGGATTTGAGGTGCACAGGCTAATAAAAGATAGCCAACCCTGTTCTAAGAGTAAAATGTGAAGAAAATTTTTTCAAAAGATTAGTAAGAAAGTCACAGTCACAATTATTCTACTGATCAGACCTAATACAACAGAACATGTAATAATACAACACTGTCATAAACTGTTATTTGTAAACATGGTATTAACTTAATTTAGCTTTGACACAGTTTACCAATAACCTCTTAGGAGAGGAAAGTTAGGATGGCATTTTGGTCTGTCCTTAATGAAATGTCAACACCCTCCATCCTCTAGCTATCAAACTTGGTGTCTGTCAGGCTAATACCATTCACATTAGTCTTGGTCATACACAGATAACCTGCACATAGCAGAAAGAAACCTATGATGACATTTCTGTCAAACGTAGATTATTAACTTGACAGTAAATGACTAGTTAATAGTCCGAGTTGGACTGAAATTTTCGTCATAAGTTTCTGCTATGTGCATGTTATTTGTATATTGTTGTAGTCATGGTATTTTGCCATTTTGTTCTAATCTTGTTCAAACTTCCCATATCTCTGATACTTCTGGTGTCTATTCCATTTCCTCCTCTTCCTGCTGATCGACAGACTTAAAGAATACAAAGGATGTGTTTACCTTGGTAACTCCAACAGTGCTCTTTTCTGTCATGTCCAGAGACCACAGATATCCTGTTAAATGGTCCTCTTCTAAAACCATCTACCTCCTCCTAGCCTTCAGAAATGGTCCTGTTGACACTGAGAGCATCAGTGGCAGAAGAAGTACAAACTAAATTACTGTGAAGGGTATTAGTTTGGGAAAAAGTAAGGTTCATGTCTAAGGAATGGAGGGTGTTCTTAAGATTTGGAAGACTGGAAATAATGGAAGGCATAGTCACAAATTATAGGTAGTGGGTTGGTAGACAGCAGCTGCTCAGGAAGGTACTACCGTCCTACCAAGTTAGTGTAAAACGGAAACCTGAAATTGTTTTACATGATGGTAGGATTGCTGGTATCTTTTTTTTCTGCCTCATAAACATGCAAGATTTCAGGTACATCTTGCTACTTCTACTTACACTTAGGTCACACTACACATACATGTACAAGCATATATATACATACCCCTCTAGGTTTTCTTCTTTTTTCTTTCTAGTTCTTGTTTATTTCCTCTTATCTCCATGGGGAAGTGGAACAGAATTCTTCCTCCGTAAGCCATGCATGTCGTAAGAGGCGACTAAAATGCTGGGAGCACGGGGCTGGAGAGTTTACCTGGAGAGGGTTTTGGAGGTCAACGCTCCTGTGGCCCAGTCTGAGACCAGGCCTCATGGTGGATCAGGGTCTGATCAACCAGGCTGTTACTGCTGGCTGTAAGTAAGCTGATGTACGAACCACAGCCTGGTTAGTCAGGTACTGACTTTAGGTGCCTGTCCAGTGCCTTCTTGAAGACAGCTAGGGGTTTATTGGTAATCCCCCTTATATATGCAGGGAGGCAGTTGAACAGTCTAGGGCCCCGGACACTTATTGAGTTGTCTCTCAGTGTACTTGTGGCACCCTTGCTTTTCATTGGGGTTACTTCCCTTCTTCTTTTAATGCCACTAGGACCAGCTTGAGAGTCACCGGACCTCTGTCGCACAACAAATCTATCCATAGAGCTCTGTACCTCGCATTCCTGTAAGATTTTCCTAAAAAAGGGCCACAACATTGTCATTGTACAGGTTGCCAACACGGCTTGCAATAGCTGTGTTAGGGTGATTTTCATCCATAAAGGTTTGCAGTTCAAACCATTTTGCACACATTTCCTTAATCTTTGAAGTAGGCAACTTCTTCAATTTTTCTCTCCCGTCTTCTGAAGCAGTTTCCTTAGTTGTGGCCTCTTGCTGTTGCAGATGCTCTTGCAGCTCATCAGTGGTTAGTTCTTCACTGTCCTCCTCCACCAACTCTTCCTCATCCTCCTCACTAACCTCCAACCCCAAGGACTTCCCCAATGCCACAATGGATTCCACAACTGGCATAGGCTTCTCAGGGTTAGACCCAAATCCTTCAAAATCCCTCTCTTCTACACATTTGGCCACAAATTTCCTCCAAGCAGAGTTCAAGGGTTTTCTTAAATCACTCCCTCCCAAGCCTTAACTATAAGGTTTACACAACTGAGGATACTAAAGTGATCTTTCCAAAACTCTCTTAGGGTCACTAGAGTGTCTGAGGTCACTTCAAAGCACTTTTGAAACATAGCTTTTGTGTAGAGTTTTTTGAAGTTTGGAATGACCTGCTGGTGTATGGGCTGGAGAAGAGGAGTGGTATTAGGAGGCAAAAATTTGACCTTGATTAAGCTCATTTCCCCCAAAATTCACTCTGCCAAGTCTGAAGGATGACCAGGAGCATTGTCTAATACCAGGAGGCACTTAAGGTCCAATTTCTTTTCCAGGAGGTAATTTTTCACGGTGGGGGCAAAAACATGGGGAAACCAGTCATAGAAAAAGTCCGTTAGGACCCATGCCTTACGTTTGCCCTCCACAGCACACACAGAGTAGCCTTGAGGACATTGTTTTTCCTGAACACTCTGGGAGTAACCCCTTCTGTATAAATTACTAAATTTAAAAAGAGAAACTTTTGTTTTTCTTTTTGGGCCACCCTTGGCCAGCAGTAACAGCGGGTTGATCGACCTTGATCCCCATGAGGCCTGGTCTCGACAGGGCCGAAAGGGGGCGTTGACCCCCAAAAACCCTTCCAGGTAAACCCTGCCTCGTGGGATAACCCAGTTTGATAAAAAAAAAAAAATATTCAAAATATACATTGTTGTACTACAATGTAACAAGATACATTTGAGTCAAGGGTTTAATTAAAATAATTATTAGAAATTTTTGGGGGATTTTCACAAGAAAAATTCGAATTAACTTTCCACCATACACGGGGGGAAAAAACTCTTACACAAAACAATAAAAGGGTCGGCCATCATAACCCGGCAGTCAGTACCCCGGTTTCCCAAAAAGTTACCCGGCACAAATTTCAGCTAGTTAAAATTTCAAATTTCCAGGGTCCCAGCCCAAACCCTACGGTACTGTTTGGTGGCACTATTATGAAAAAAGTATTTAAATTTCTTTTTTAATTATTGTTATAACCTCCTACTTTTAGCCCTAGCATGGTTCTAATGATAAAAGAAATGTTTATTGTGTAAAGCACATATACAGTACATGCCCAAAAAAGAAAAGGTGGAAATTGAGTACTGTCATTTGCTTGAGCTTTGGTTCATGATGTCAACACTAATATCAACATCGCTTATTTCCCATCAATTAAATTTATGACAAATAAACAATATAAATAAAAAACTTTAAAATTACTCCAGAATAAATACGTAATTGGAAAAATACCGAGTGGTTGACGGAGGTTAAAAAAGGTAGGGGATAAAGTACCCTCCTCCCATCCCTCTTTTGGGGGGTTATATTAGAGAAAAAAAGGAGTATATCACAGGGTAACTGTGATTAACTCAAATGCCCATAAAACGAAACAAAAGCTATTTTCTTAATAGATTATCATACAAAACCGCATATATGTAGAGAAACTGGGGGAACCCCAAAAAAATCAATGATTTATATCCAGTACCTGGCTTGGGCTTGTCAAATGTGGTTTTGGGTAAACATTTTTTTTCTCAGTTTGTTGGGCTATCTTATTGAAATTTGGGCAATGTATGATGGAAAGGTGCTTCGTAATGTTCAACATGGCCACTTGATACTGGAGTGCCACAGGGTAGTGTCCTTGGTCCCCTGCTCTTCCTCTTACACATCAATGATCTTCCCAATGTATCCCAACACCTTAAGCCTATTCTCTTTATTTATTTATTTATTTATTTATTTCCAATTTGTGCACACATACAGAGGTACAAAAAAAATACAGATAAGAGCAGTATGCCAAAGCCACTTATACTATGCATAGCATTACGGGCTGGCTTAAAATTAACTTAAGATTAACTAAGCAATGATTATTATTATTATTATAATCAAAAAGAAGCGCTAAGCCACAAGGACTATACAGCGCTGCTACTAAGCAATGATGAAATCAGTGATAAAACATTAATGTAAACAGATAACTATAAAGCACAAGTGAGTATTACAAAGACAGGTCATATGGTTGCATTCAGTTAGGTAGTGATTCTGTTAGGTAGTGTATTTAAAAAATAATAAAGTTAGATTGGGTTTTAGGTTTAACATTTATGTGATATAATTGTGAGAAACATTTAAGATATACAATTTATAATGTTCAGTTATTCAGTATTTATTTGGTTTTGGGTGAGTAAGTAATCTTTGAGAAGAGACTTGAATTATAAACAGGTTGTGTTTCTTTTATATTTACAGGTAATGAATTCCAGATTTTAGGGCCTTTTATGTGCATTGAGTTTTTGCATAGTGTGAGATGGACACGAGGAACATCAAAGAGTGATCTGTGCCTTGTGTTATGGTCATGTGTTCTGTTGAGGTTGGCAGGAGATGTTTGAGGGGAGGGTTAATATCAGAGTTAAAGTGTTCTATGTATGTAATAGGTGCAGTAATAAGTATGGATGTTTTGTATGGTGAGTAGGTTTAGTGTATTGAATATTGGTGG